TAACAATAAATAAAAAAATACAAATGTTAACTCCATAAGTTCCTAACAACATACTTTAACCGGTTTATACACTTTGTTCTAATAAGTCGTAACAAAAATAAAAAAACAGCAGGTGATACGAGGTCATTACTTTTATACTGCATCGATGAAAGTAGTAAAGACATATAAACTAAATGATTCGAAAACCAAAAATAAAAATATATATATATATATTCATAAATATGTAATATTTATAACAAATATTATAATTATGCTGTGGCAAAGCTTGCGATTTGGATGGAAGAGAAAACAACAAAGAATAATTTGCACAAAATAGCCCAATAACCAGAAAACTTTATTTTCTACTATATACATTGTAATGAAAAAACGGTTGTAATAATTTTGATTGAAACTTGCTGAAAGCATTAATTGATAATTTATTTAATTTAAATTTAAATTTGTATATATTATATACTTCTCTAAAAGAAGCAGGAAAAATAAAGCTGGTGATTTGAAGAATAATTTTACTGTGCACTTAGCTTAACAAGAAAAACAAAATCTTATAAGCAAACATTTTTACATTCTAATTTCCTTCTCACGAAGCTCTCAGAAAGTCATGCGAGGATATATATATATTACAAAGGTATCAATCTAATAATAATGAAATACTAAAAACATCATAAGAATCCATAATAATTTATGACACACTATAATGGCCATTCCATTCAATTTATAGGCGTAAAAGAGTATAATGGTACTAATTAAGTTAAATGTTGGTTCAAATAAGTGAGATGCGAAATGGATCAATTATTAGATTGGTAGACATTCTAACAAAAGAAATCTCCACAAAATAGAAAATAGTAATGTTTCATCTGCAAATAATGGAATTTTATAATACAATGTTATAAGGGATAGGTCCCTAAACTATTTCCTTTGACGTTATCAAGAAAAAAGACGAGTTGACTTGATATGTCTATCATTATCTAATCATCTAATTTAGACAATACCCTAGCAGCTTAGGGGATCCTCTGCTTAGAAAACATTACGGGGAATTCAATATCAAATCTTATCGGCTATAATAAAGGGCTTTATCATCAAGGATTTAATGGTTCCATAGTTCGTTTTGCTCCAGTTCAACTCATATCAATCCAGAGGCTTGGTTCTAAAGATTACTTTTAAAATATTACATGAATTAAACTGATTTCTGTGTGATGAAAGGTTATATATTTGTATCAACATCACAAGACTCTTTTATTAAACGTTCATGCCTTTAAAAAAAATAAGATGCCTTTGCATTATAATTTTTAAAAAACCTGGAGTGGAGTATCATCTTTTTCTTAACACGCTTCTTTCAGTTGATTTTTTTTTTTTTAAAGTCAATAAATCTGAAATATATTACTTCAATAATAAAAAAAACTTTATGACAATTAATATCAACGATTCTGTGGAATTAATATTTTTGATTTGTCAACCTGAAAATAAATATTGAAGTTTTATTTTAATTTAATTTGTTTCCTACGAAAATCCTATTTAGTTTCCATGAATATATTTATTTCCTATTCAGTTGTAAATAATGACAATAAAATCACACATTAATATTTATAACAATTAAAAGTTTTTAGTATTTTGTCACTCTCCATTACGTTTCACGACTTTATATGTTAATTTTTCTAAATTTTTTTTTCTTTAAAAAATCCAGCTATATATTATACCTCTACATTACTACTCTTATTTTCGAACACTTGTTCTTTACCTCCGAAAATATTTCTCGCAGTCTCTCCTTTAGTTAATAATTAATTTTTTGTTGTTGTTATTTTTGGCTTTAAGACTTGTAAAAGCAAGTCCTATTTTGCAAATAAAATATTTTAATTGTCGTTGTAAGATGAAATTACACAAAATATTTATTGAATATTTCTAGATAGATGATCAATGAATGTAACTTATATAGACTTAAACTAGAAAGACTAATCCTAGTTAAAAACTGCGGTGACAGTAGTTTCATAACAATTAAATGAGAATAAGAGACAATTTTTATTATATAACTGCTTTTATGTCATTTAAAAACTTTTATAAAATCACGAGCGTTAAATTCTTTAAGACTTTATGTTAATTATGGTAAGTGAAAGTTATCGTATCACATTTTTTCAATACAAGAAGATCGGTTTCGTATTAGAGATAATTAAGAAAATAATACAAAGAATAAAATATATAAAGATGACAAGAATAAAATTCTGAAGATTTGAGAATTGTTAAGACTCAAAAGGGAAGACGAAATGTAACTTAAAAAAAAAAACAACTAAAGTAAACTAAAAAAAAACCACTACAAACCATGAAGGTAGGGGTCTTAAGTTCAGTACGATGTTAAGAATTACAGTTTCTAGGCCAAGGGTTGTGCAAAAAATATATTTCCATTTTTCTTAACTAGATAACTCTGACAAGCTATAAAAAATTGTTTCGGAATCGTAATAATAATAAAATTATTGGGATTATTTCATTTTTGAATAGATAACTTCTTTGCACTTTTTTTTTTGAGGAGAGTAAATAAGATTGAGCCGTGTAAATAATTAAAGTTTTTTTGCATATGGATTAAAATATCTCAAAAACTAAAAATCAGACCTACATACTGTAAGTGAGGGAATGGTTCAGAATTTCATCCTCTATGTAATGAGCTATTATTCAAAAATTGTATTTTAACGCTACACCGTATTATGGAGGTGAAAAGGAAAAAAGTACTGTCGAAAACCAAATGATAACGAGTTTTTTTTTTGTAATGAACTATTACTTATAATTATATTTCATAATATTAATTTCGTCTTGTTGATATTTTGACTTCTATCGTTTGGTCTAAAACACACTCCATATTTTTTTTTTCTGTCTCCCCATCTCGCCTTTTAGCCTATAAGTTTTTTTTGTCGGGCAAGGGGAGATAGCGGAGGATTAATTCCGCATTAAAAAGTCCTCACTCTCCCCCGCACCTTTACCTTTTATTATCTTTTCATTACGAATTACCGTATCATTAGGTTTTTATTTTATTTTTTTTTTTGTGTCCTCCCCTTCCTCGCCGTTGAGGCTATACTGGGTTTTCCCGGGCCAGGGGGTATGGGCGGGGATTTAAAAGACGCCTTGGCACCGGGACGCGAAATCGTGACTATTTTTACAATGTTTTTCATATATCAGGTTGCCCGGCAACAGTGGTGCTGTGCACTCGAGTAAGCCCATTCGGCCACCCCGCCCACATATCATTAGGTTTTAGATTATCTACTGCTATCAAAATTCATAGCAGGGATGACCATTCCCTTCTCTCCCCAACCTCAACGACAAATAAGAACCTTCCCCTTCCAAGAAATGTTATTACTCTGCACTTATTAAAAACAGTCGATGCTCCTTTCTATGTAACCAACAAAACCCTACACCATGACCTTAATATCCCATTTGTCCTGGACCTTATACAAAAAAAATTCTCCAAGTTTCACCAGAACCTCAACCATCATCCAAATCCCTTTGCACAATCCCTATCCAGCACCACCCATCCCTATAATCCTCCAAGATGGTTAAAACGGTAGTGGCCCCGCGACCTTTTATAGTTTGTAAATATTGAAGTTCTGGCAATGGCCAGATTCTCCACTCACGACATGAGTGTATGTGGCTAAAGCACTCTTGCTCAATCTCCACTAGGTTTAGCCCCAGTGACGCGTTTGAGAGAGAAGTGCAGAGATCTCCTAGTCATACTTTTCCCTCCACAGTTGGAAGGACAAGTCTTGTTTGGAGTTCTCTCACCAGATTGTAAATATTGTATGTATGCATGAATGTGTTCTTTTTATTTATTTATTTTTAGGTTACTTTATTCTTATTTATTGTATATATATTATTTTTCTGTATAATTTATTCTATTTATTGTACATAGAGTGTGAATATGATCTCTGAACACTATTATAAATGTTCTTGAGACAGATTGTAATATTTTTCAATAAATAAGTTTAAAAAAAAAAATAGATTGGAACAGTGTTTGTTCTTCGTCTCATATTTTGTCGACATATTCAGAGAAGAGAGTTCCTCTTTGGCCGACATCATTTTACTGAAAAAATATCCCTGATCTACTAAAAATTGATGTATGTTGATAAAAATAATACAATCTGAACTACAGAATGTGTGTATATTACAGTTATAAAATTTGAGCAACAAGCACACGAGTAAGCCCATTCGGCCACCCCGCCCACATATCATTAGGTTTTAGATTATCTACTGCTATCAAAATTCATAGCAGGGATGACCATTCCCTTCTCTCCCCAACCTCAACGACAAATAAGAACCTTCCCCTTCCAAGAAATGTTATTACTCTGCACTTATTAAAAACAGTGCAAACCAAATTAGAATTAGAAAAAAAAAATCAAATCATAAACAAATACACTTTCTGTGATTTATTGTATGTTTTTTCTCTGTTCCCTAATTTGAAAATTCATTCATATTTCAAGGCTTCAGAAATATAGTATTCTCCAACAAGCCCCTTCAAAAATTCAAAATCCCGTTTACATAAAAAATGTCGATGTATTCACGTAAAATAACAAGAAGGATCCAAGATCTGGGATTCATCACTTGATAAAGAAATATGTGTTGTGAGATTTGAATGCAAGTCGTAAATAAGGGTTAGTAGATCGTAAAACTTTGTTCATGTTGTCAGAAAGGTTAGAAACATAAGGTAGAGACCTGTATATGGAGGCCGGAATAGGTTGTGGAGAATTAGTGGAAGTCGAGATTAAGGAAGAACACAATAATCGCTCTTCCTCAGTCTCTATGTTCCTAACTTTCTGACAACATAAACAAAGTTTTACGATAAAGAAGTATTGTGTCTTAAACAACGGTTTTGTATCTGGAGGTGATGTGGTCAAAGTGAACGTTGAGCCATCGGATTTTCACCTACCCATTCTAAGAGTCTCGTGGTTTTTGTTCCATTTATTTTTGAAAAATACTTGATTACGTAAGAAGGATTACTGTAATAGCGTTTTGATTAATAGGCAACTCACCATTAATGTAGCAGACGGAGTTGTTGGGGAGGTGGTTCCTGGAGATCTCGGCTAACGGATGGTCGCCCTCTGGCCAGGCGAACCGCACCTCGTCGAGCTGGCCGTAGATGACCTTCATGAAGCAGTGCGCGCTGCTGTGGTCGTGGATGGCCGAGCCCTGCGCCACGTCCCAGCACAGCAGCATCAGGTTGTACTTGCCGTTACCTTCGTCCACCAGGTTCCTTGTGTACCTGAACAGCGCCATCTTACATATGAGTAAAACAATGACATGGATTCGGGGCTGTGCCTGCACAATAAATCCCTTTTATCTCCCTATCATGCAAAAAGTTTTAAGTGACTTTCATATTTTATTTTATTTTAGCATTAGGTTAGTAAAAGATAACAGGAGCTCGGTAATTATTTTACTGTTTATTTGTTATCATTGTGCATTGAGCTCCTGTTACCTCCTTCTCTACTAATACAAAATAAAGATTTTAGTCCAAAACATTTCCCGTACAATTTTTTTTTTTTTTTCTGTAGATCACGATATTTGTTTACTAATAACAGTCCCTATATTTATTTAAAAAATGACTATTTCTAGAGAAGCTTTCGGCAACCAGCGCCATATATATCTTATTATCTTGTTTTACTATTTAAAACCATAATGGATTGGAACATCCAAAGTCCTTCGAACAATAGTCGATGCTCCTTTCTATGTAACCAACAAAACCCTACACCATGACCTTAATATCCCATTTGTCCTGGAGCTTATACAAACAAAATTTTCTAGGTTTCACCAGAACCTCAACCATCATCCAAATCCCTTTGCACAATCTCTATCCAGCACCACCCATCCCTATAATCCTCCGAGATGGTTAAAACGGTAGTGACCCCGCGACCTTTTATAGTTTGTAAATATTGGAGTTCTGGCAATGGCCAGATTCTCCACTCACGACATGAGTGTATGTGGCTAAAGCACTCTTGCTCAATCTACACTAGGTTTGAGTGGCATCTCCACTCCCTAACCACCCCAGTGACGCGTTTGAGAGAGAAGTGCAGGGATCTCCTAGTCATGCTTTTCCCTCCACAGTTGGAAGGACAAGTCTGGTTTGGAGTTCTCTCACCAGATTGTAAATATTGTATGTATGCATGAATGTGTTCTTTTTATTTATTTATTTTTAGGTTACTTCATTCTTATTTATTGTATATATATTATTTTTCTGTATAATTTATTTTATTTATTGTACATAGAGTGTGAATATGATCTCTGAACACTATTATATATGTTCTTGAAACAGATTGTAATATTTTTCAATAAATAAGTTTAAAAAAAAAAATAGATTGGAACAGTGTTTGTTCTTCGTCTCATATTTTGTCGACATATTCAGAGAAGAGAGTTCCTCTTTGGCCGACATCATTTTACTGAAAAAATATCCTGATCTACTAAAAATTGATGTATGTTGATAAAAATAATACAATCTGAACTACAGAATGTGTGTATATTACAGTTATAAAATTTGAGCAACAAGCAGTACAATTGAATAAACATTAGTAAAATTTGTAAAATGGGGGTTGGTTCGCCGTTAGGTGGACAGGGGGTACTCCCTCCGCTAGTATTAACACAAAAACAATTTTTTCCCCCTTGATTGTTGTAGGTACCTATGTTCAAGGTCATCCGTTGAATTTTTTTCTGAAGAAAATATTTCCAACCAAAACTTCATGTTATCTAGAGCAGTGGTTCTCAATTGTTCTTTCTTGAGGTATCCTTGTCAGTTAAAATAATTTACTATTATCAGAATTAAAATCGCAGCACCCTTATTTTAATAATTAACATTATTTATAATAAAGATTTTTTAGAAAATATTAGGCCAAAGGTCACCAAATGTACACAGTTATCACGTCACGTTTCGGCTTCAGGAGCCATTTGTTATACTTCAAACTACATCATTATAAAACTCATATTAATCAGTTTTAGAAGTGAAAAAACGACATTCGATGAAATAAAAGAATGATAAACCGACAAATTATATTATAATGATACATTTTAGGAAATTTTATAAAACGGTGCATGGCATTTAGATGATAAATTTTACATTAATTTTAACCGAAATGCTATGTTATATAAAAATTATTTTTATTCTTTTTATAACTGATTGTTATTGAATTAATATGTGTTTTATAATGATGTAGTTTGAAGTATAACAACTGAATTAAAATTAGTTTGCAGGATCTTGAAAATGGCTTCTGTAGCCGAAATGTCGAGTAAATAACACATGATGTGATAACTGTGTACATTTGGTGACCACCTTTGACCTAATATTTTAAACAAAAAATCTTTTAAAAAAATGGCATCGAACCTAAAGTATATGACTAGAAAATTATTTATAATGTTTTTAAATAATGAGCCCGATGCTGCAAAATCCCTTAAATATAGAAAAAAACAAAACAACCCCCATCACTTTAAATTTTGATTTGCCATTCGAGCTTTTCTTGTCTCATGGGTGAAGTTTCAGTGCGTGGATCGACGCTTTGTTTCATGATCATAAGTAAACAATTATAACTCGTCAATCTGCTTTAAAAGGAACAAAATTTGAGCCCGCTGAAGCTGGGAAAGAGAAAGCAGTATGCGTTCTGAAGGAGATTCCCAGTGCTACTTCATACAATGGAAGATTCCTATGGTAGAGGATTGCTTTACATTGAATTTTATAGTAAGTAAATATGTATGAAGTCTTAATAAAATGTTTGTTTTTCAAATTGATAAATCACTATACGATACCGCATTTTTGATAACCCCAGAGGATCAGCTTTTTGTTTATTGGGTGATACTCCGTAACAGGTGCGAATTTATTGATTGTTATTTTTATAATATCATATAAAATACAGGGTCTTAAAAATAGATTAAATTTTAAAAAGGCTAAAGGGTTTTAATTTTCATATAAATTTAATTCAAATTTTTTATAAAAATGTAAATGGAAAAAACAAGGCTATAGCTTTTGTAAGATGCAACAAAAGAGCTCGTAGCCCCCGATGCAATGATAAAAAACATGGAATACAGGAAGAACTGATGAATAGGATTTCGTGACTTCATTATTTTTTTTTTTGTTCAAAATAAAATGGCGTAACATTAATTTGACTTCATAGTAGAACAGTAATAATATTAAATTTTTCACTTCAACTTTTAGCCTAGATTCCAAACTTTATTCTGACGATAAACAACCAATATGGACATGAGGAAGATTGAAGAAAAGAGCTTGGATATTGGATACATTTTGGCATTGGACATGCTAAAGAAGCAATTATGGTAAATAATGTATTAAGGACTTATTTAAAAAAATACGCCTGAATATAATATTAATGATCCCAACAAGTTTTTTATATAATAAATAAATATGAGAATATATTTATGTACATTTGAAAGGGCGCCAAATTTGAAACTCTGCAGGAACCCAAACGCTCATTTTATCAAATTTAAGTTACAAGTATTCGTCCTACAGTATGCTTTAACAATACATCACTTATCCCTGTTGAACAAATTTGATAACATATAAACGCCTGGATAAACGACTTATTTGGAATCCTCATACCAGACTGAGACGACTAGAAACTGCTCGACGTTTTCGACTACTATAGTACTTACTAGACAGACACTCTAAATTTCCAATTATTTACAAAAGATTCATATGTATTACTATAATAAGGACTCTCGACTTACGGTATCGAACTGTGGGGCTCTACTAAACCATCATATTTCTCTCGTATCCAATCCTTACAATCCAAAATTCTTCGTAAAATCCTCAATGCACCTTACTTTGTCACAAATAAAATCATCCATAACGACCGTAATGTACCATATGTTTCCGATTTAGCTCATTCCAGATACCTGTCCTTCCATAATAAACTAACCTTGCTTCCTCTTCTATTCCTGATAACCCTCCGAGGCGTCTGAAATGAATAGGGTATCGGGACCTCTTAATATAGAACTATAATTGGTGTACTACCAATGTGTAGTTTCTCTCCATGTTGTACATGTCATGTCACTGTTTTCTTGTTTACCTTTTGTAGTAGTCATGTAATGCAGTTGTAAATTTCAATAAACATATATTTTTTTTTAAGTTACGAGTGTCAATAATAGGTGTCTTTATCTTTTTCATAATTTCTTTTTTTTTTTTCTTCTGAATCCGCTAATGGTTATTTTACGTTGATTTATTTGTGTATGTATTTGATCTTTGTTTAAAACATTTCTGCAGACCTAGAATTGATATTTTTCCAACCCTTGTATATATATAAGAAACTTTACGGTTGTGAAGTTAACCAAATATATTATAAAATAGTTTCTTTTGTTTTAGTAGGCAGTGTAATAATAAAGTCCAGATGATGTAGGTACTACTTCATTCCTAGCTCCATGGCTCAGGTGTAGAATCCTCCAGAACTATCTATCTGGAACATGTGACGTGTACGACTGAGGCGGAATCAGCTGTGGTCTACAAAGGAAACCGGTTCATGGTCATCAACTTAGCTTCTTAAATAGTTTATATCTAATAGAATTAAAGCTCATTAATTTAAGTTATATTTAAGAAATATATCATAAATAAAATGAATAATTACACAATATATTTTAATTTTGTTGTCCCATTTAAAATTTATATTTTTGTCTTATTTTATAACAATGCAGTAATCAAAAATTATTTCGTAAAAGTTTAGCCTAATCGCTGGAATAAACTGGTTGTCCTCAAACCGGATCGTGTCCCACAGGTTGAATTTTTAACTTATAAGCCAGGAGGTAAACTCTGATGTATTGACATTTAAATAGCTGTTCCAGAAATATCAACAACTTCAGAACTACGTTTTTCATTATTGAAAAGTTAAAGAAATGTATTGATTGTACTACCTTTAACTGCTTATTTTATTAGCTGAATACTTATTTGAAATCTACTATAAAAATAAAATTAAAAAAAAGTATTATAAAATGGCTTTTAACCATCTATTCACGGATCACTGTTTGTCAATCATGTAATAACAAATGTAGCATTGTTTGCCTGAAATGTTTAATAAAGTTTATTAATGTTTTAAAGGCAGTAGTACCTTTAAAGAAGAGATTATCTATCAAACAAGAAATGTACGTACATTGTTCATAATTTCATGGTAGAAAATAACAATACATAAATGCATGAATATCTACAAGATAATTAGATTATAAAACAAATTAAAGGAAAATTTAAAACAGTAATACTTCAAAACAGAAAAAGTTCAAGAAGACTTGGATTTGTGACTCAGCGAGAGCTAACAAGTTGTATTTGAATGCAGAAAAGACGAAGGCATTCTTAATAGGCTCCAATCACCTCCTTAAAACTGTTCCTAATATTACAACTCTGTTCCTACATGATAATACCATCAAATTCTGTCAGTCCATCAAAAACCTTGGATGATCTTTGATTCCTGGAAAAATCATGTATCCAACACCTCCCGCCGTACCATTTCCACCATTAAACGTCTAAATTACTCCCGTCACCTATTTCCTCTTGAAACCCGTAGGTTCCTAGTAATATCTTTATTTTTCCCCCACTTTGACTACTGCTGTACGGTATATGGGGGCGTCTCTGGGGATCTCGAGGCGAATTTAAAACGTTTGATAAATTGCTTTGTACGATTCATCTTCGGAATTCCAAGGGACGCCTATGTTTCCCGTTTTTTATGTGGAGCTGAAGTGGCTTTATCCTTCCTACCGTCGTGAGTATTTCCTGGCATCCTTCCTCTTTCAAGTCATCCAATCCCACCGTCCTTCATACATCTCAGAGCTCCTTCAATTCAAATCCTCTGTTCGTTCCCGCAATACCCGTTCTCGGTCTTCTGATTTATACATAAGGGCCCACCGAACCGCTGCTTTCGACAGATCGTTCATTATCTGATCCTCATCTCTATGGAACTCCGTTCCTTCCCACATCCGTCAATCCAAAACCCTTCCTACCTTTAAATCCCGCCTATTTAATCATTTCTTATCCATTCAGTCCTCATAAAACTGTAAATAGTTACAACTGTAAATATGTATATAAATTATTAGATGGTTCTTCATTATTTTTACTTTATTTTCAATTTTTCCTCAATTGAAAGAGTTATTTTCAATAACTCCTCCTTCCCCCTCCAAAATTAAATCTCGGATCCTAATATATATATAGGAGTCTATCCTAATATATAGCTAGTGTGCTATATTACACAAACAATAAGTAAATATATGTGTATGAATTAGAAAAGTAATATGCTAAGTGTGAACTGACCTATCATAATACGACTTTCATTTATTTATCTAATCATTGACTGGCTATCTTGAAATGATTACACATAGGCTCAAACATATATACAAAAATATATAAAGTTACTGTTTATTCATGGTTGTCATAACATGTTTATCTTACCCTTAGCAACAATTCTCAGTAATTCAAATATAAGAAAGAAAAACAATGTTGATTCATAGCGATAAGAATGATGTTAATTTTGTCATTTTTATTACATCCTTCAGTTGTATATCTTAATACTTATTTCTAAATATTTGATTTATGAATTTAGAAACACTTATCGCAATGTATTATCTGTCATACAGCTATAAAAGGTTATACTACGATCGATCATTCTCAAGGACTCGATATATGAAGAAACGTATTTTTTTATAAATATTTCTGTTTCGTTAAATAAATATAGCGGTTGATGTACCTATATTTAGGATATCGTAATTATTTTAATGATTGCAATGCCTTCTAGATTTCAATGACGGTTAGACTCTCCAAAAACTTTATAAAAAATATTGCATTTTTTTACAAATCGAATTCAAAATGGATAAAAATTATTATTTATATTGTTAGTTCAATATGCTACAGCAAATTTAGAATGACAGTATTAATTAACAATTGAAAGCACTAGTGAATTTACAGTTATACATATACCTAAGAGTTGAAGATTTTAACGATGCAGATTTATGGTACTTTATTTTATCAGTAAACTGCAACATACATATTAGGCTGTATAGTATTTCTAGGGCTAAAAAAAATATTAATGATAAAAATAAATATTAATGAAAAACTTAAATTGTTTAATAAGAAGAAAGACTGGATAATTTTTTTTTTACTTAAATCAATTGTTTCTTATGAATATCTTCCTTATGAGAAATTCCATAGTAAAATGTAACTATACATAATTAAAATTTTCAAATTTGTTATTATTATTACATAATGGTATAAGTATTACTGCTTTTAACCGTTAATAAATATTGTTATTATATATTTGCTGAAACATATTGGTCTGGCTGCTATGCTGGTTAGTATGTATTTTTCGCTCATTCAGCTTTTTAATTAATAGTATGGATTGGTTAATATACTTTATTTTTGTTGGTATCAGTAATTTTATATATTGTTATTTTGTCATTTTTATCGTTCGATTCAAATTACTCTGAAACTTTTATTTTGTAACATATACGTGGTTCATAGTAATAATCAGCATTCATTGTAATTATGCCGTTAAGAGCTATTCTCATCTATATGAAAATTTAAAATACATATCAGTATTAAATTCTATGAATAAATAAACGCTCAGAGCTGTATTAGTGATTATAATATAATAATAACATATGAAAATGCTGATTTACTATTCAAGATTTATTAATATAATAACATTTCAGAAATAACTGTTGACAATCATGAGGCTGAAGTCCCTACCCCTCAAATGGTAAAATATAATTATGTCTTATAAAAAAAATAAATAAACATTTTCTCTAAAAGTATTAATGTTCCAGAAATTAAATTTAATAGGGCTTCAAGAATTACTTAGGCACCATTTTATTTTAGGTAGTTAATTTATTTCTTTTTCCTCCAAAGTAATTATCGTTTTATATAAAAAAGAAAATCTTTCGGACTGAACCCCCCCAAAAAATTAAATGCTGGATCCTACCATCCTGATAGTCGAAAGGTGAACGAAGTAGTTACAAATAATAACAGCTCATCTCAGTTCTTTTGGATAGCTATTTAGTTGAAGAGAACTTGAAATGAAGAGAAACCATTATTTTTATTATCAGTTTGAGAAATAACGGTTAATAAGAAGACCACTACTTTTCTAAAATAATACTTTCCATTTCTATACGATTGAGTTGTGATCAGGAATATATTGTGAAAATACACTCAAACTTCCTTTCTATGTCGATGCATATTTTTGTTTTATTACAAAAAGTCAGTAAGTGATACATAAAAAATGTAATTAGAGACTTTATAAAAGAAACCGACGATAAATTTAAGTTGTTCTATTGAGAGAATCAATTTTAGTTAAAAGATGTTATTATTTTTACTCTTAATATTTAGAGTGCTACCATTGGGTAGTTACTCAGTAAGTGTTTTCATGTCATTATATCCATTATGTTCAAATTTACTAGATGTATTTATTTAATACAGTTGTAAATGTCATTAAGAAATAAAAAAAAAACTCTTAATATAAGAATGTATCAACAGTTTTCTCTAACTTTCATAATAGAATTCGTTGTCAAAATAAGTACTTGTACGAGCATTAAGATAAGGCTAAAAGAGATGTGGAATTTAGTGGAATTAAAAAAAAAAAAGACCAAATTTTAACACCTGGCTGTATGGAAAATTATCAATTACTCTTAAAGAGATAAAAAATTATTTACTTTAGTTTTATGTTTTTTTTCTTAACCGTTTTCGATTACTTCAAGATAAGTAAGTAATATTTTTTTAAAAAATATATTAATTAAATTAATATTGTGTATAGAATAAAAAAAGACTATATCTTTGGTAAATAAAAACTCTAGCCTCGCTCATTCTAAGTATGTACATTTAAAAAATATATATATATATATATATAATCAATAAGACCTCTAGAAAGAGATAAGGACAATCGAATCATCTCCAGAGAAACCGTTGACGCAATAAATGAAGGAGGTGAACCAACAATATAGGATTCCATATATAATCATATATGATAATCCTGTTATTTAATTACAACATATAAATGACAGATAGGTATGAAGTTAACAAGTCCACTTATTTTAAACTATCCGTAGTGGTGGTCATATTCTATGTATGAACCGGAATTTTAGGATCTGCAATAAGATTAAATATTCTTATCTATACAGGGAAATACAATGGAAATACCTAAATTTATAATGTAGTATCTGCAGAACATGTTCTTGATATAATTAGCTTTATAGGACACTTTCGGTGTGGATGGTAGGATGTGGATCAAAGAGAGAATGAAGTCAGCAGGAAAGTACCTCGACTCTCCCAGAAGAGGATTGCTATGGAAAATCGAAGGCTCCTCCATGACAAAAGTAACCTTATAGAAGAATAAAGAAAACTTTCGACACTGACATGCTGCAATGAATCGTACGTAGGCTCTCAATGCCAACCATAAAAGCCAACTTCAGACCATGGAGATGTGTTATTTTAGAAAATGTTGAGAGCAAAACAAGAAGAGGCAAAATCAGAAATAGTAATATTACCTTCATGAATGTAACATCTACTTGGAAGTTTATTGAAGAACTGTAGACGAAGGAGTTTGGCATGTCAGGGGAACGCATTGTAGGGGCGGCCTCATAAGAGATAGGAACCGGCAGAAGGGACCGAGGAGAAGTTCTGGGAAGAAGGAATGGAGGAGGCCTGCAGGAAGAGAGGTAGAGATTCGAGTAAAAGAAGTATACTTGGAATTTAAAGTCTTTAAAACAGACTGCATAAATATCTTTTCGTTAGTTTGATTAGCAATTCATTTATTAGTTGATCTTTATTTAAGTGTTAATTAATCTTTTCGCATCAATAAATATAATTTCATTTAATGAGTTATTGAAGGAAGTTAATCGACTGTTATACATATCACTGATAATAAATAATCAGGACGCAGTCATTTTTAAGATTTTCAGGGCGTGATTCGAGAGGCCATAACCTCAATTAGATTAGATTTTAGATAAATTAGATTTTTAGCTCCGCTATATTTCGAAGCTAAAACTGAATTCAGCCATGAACCATACAGCCATCATTCTAAGTGTTTCCTAGTCCTTTGTCCCCTGGGGTGTTATCGTTTTAGTTCGCGGTACAAACCCATTTTTATTAAATTATTAACACCAGCCTAAAACTTCGTGAATGGCTTATCCTATATCCTTTGTATATATATATAAATAAATATATATATATATATATATATATATATATATATATATATATATATATATATATATATATTATCCTATTATCTTATTCTAAACTAAAACATTTCTATCTAGGAAAATTCCCAGAAATGTGGCTTTTCCTCATTAAACTAATTAATTTAATGAAGTACTAAGAACTCATGAATACCCATTTTCTTTTCTTTTAAATAGGTAGATGGTTTTATCATAAAATCGATAAACAAGGCAGGGGTGCCAAGAAGGTTTCATGGAGCAAGGAACGCCATGAAAATTGTCGAGGGGAGCTCATTTTTATGGGGTTTTGAATTTTTGAGAGGGGCACATTTCGATGGGTTATTATTTTTTAAAGTGAAAACTTTCAATTCTGAGAACAAGGAGAACGACAGGGAACAGACCACCGTTAATGTATTTTTATATTATGTACGGTTTTTTGAGAAGAGGTGAGCAATAAACTTTCTTGAGTGGGACATGGGAGTTCATGCGCCATCGACCTTGGGGGCGGTGGCATCCCTGAAGAAACCAGGTGATCAACAAAAAAAAAATGGGCCGTTTCGTCGATATCACCTAGATATTTTGGCTTCTTGAAGGTGAAAGTCAGGCCAAATGACCCAATATTGTGACCGAATTATCTTACGATTCAAGCAGAAAGCAAATGGGTGTTCATCAATATATAGTATCTCATTGAATATACAAGGTTTAACTATTTCCAGATTGAAAATTCTACATTTCCGAGAATTTTTGTAAATGAAAATGTTATAGGCTACGATAATATGAAACCATTCACTAAGTTTTAAACGGATGTTAATAATTTGATAGAGAGGGGTCTATAATGCAGACCATTTACGCTACAAAGGCGTTGAAAAAATAAGTAAATGGTTTTTTTGTTTAACCACGTATTCTTCTTCTTTTAAGTGAGAATATAGGTATAAAAAGACTAAAAAATAATTAAAAGAAGGTAAACGAGGGTGAAAGACATAACAACCCCACAAAGAGTGAGGTCAAGGCACTACTTTCATCCGATCGTTAAAGTCTCCACAAAAAGTCTCCCACCCTATTCTTACTTATTCTTCACCTACAAAAGCGGTTTTCTGTTTAAAATATTTTAATATTCTATCGATAGTAGTAAAACCTAACATCGAGAAAAAGCGATAAACTTGTTTGGTTGTTAGTTTTAGATTAAGAAAAAAGTGTGTATGATAATTCAATCAAATTAATGAAGACAAATTTTTCTTTACAATTGATGTCTTCAATTTTTTGCCAATAAAGTGGAGTTATTGTGATTCTTTATTTCAAGAGGTAATATATCAAAATTTTTATATTTAAAAGATTCACAATTAGTTGAACCGCGGAATAATCCCCTCTGGTACATAATTGATTGATAATTCGTATTGGTTAGTCAATTAATTATCAGTATAATGTTAAAATAAATAAATGGGTTTTTTTTCTTAATGAACTTTGGAAATAAAATAAACGCATCCGAGTAACGAAGTTGGATGAGAGGAAATTATAAACACTGATTCCAATATTAGAAGAATTTTTTTGGGCTATTAGAATGTATTTGCGCCGGTCAATGTATTGACGCCTTGTAGTCTCTTCCTCATGTTCTGGACATTAATTTTGAATTATTTGTTTATTTTTCATCAATAGCAGTGAAGTTATCCAAACATACAACTTTTACCTTTCAACGCAATTCCTGTCCACCAGTCTATTTCAACTCCATACCACTTCCTCTGTCCGACACAGTCCGAAATCTTGGCTTTATTCTAGAAAAACGACTAACGTGGAACCCACATACCAGACTTAAAAGACAACAACTTAACAGATGATACGGACAGCTATATAGACTAATGAATAGAAAATCTCAACTTTCAGTCGACAACAAACTACTAATCTACAAGACAATCCTGAAACCTATTTGGACCTACGTAATAGAACTGTGGGAAACAGCAAAATGTTCTAATATCAAACGCATTCAATCCTTCCAGTCTAATGTCCTCCGTACAATAGTCGATGCTCCCTTCTATGTATCCAATAAAACCCTCCATAATGACCTTCATATCCCATTTGTTCTTGACCTAATCCCAGACAAATTTTCCAAATTTCACCAGAACCTCACTCATCATCCAAATCCTGTAGCACAATCCCTATCTAGCTCCAGCCATCCCTACAATCCTCCCCGGAGGTTAAAACGGCAGTGGCCCCGCGACCTTCTGTAAATATTTATATATTGGAGTTCTGGCAAAGGCCAGATTCTCTACTCAGGTCCTCAGCGTCTGTTGCTGCAGTGTTCTCCATCAGTTTCCACTGGTTTCTAATACCAGTGAAGCTGTTGTGAGAGTAGCACTGGGATTTCCTGGAGTCCTGCCTTGGCTTCCGCATTGGGGATAAAGCATGACTCAGAGTCCCCTGGGTGAATGTAAATATTGTATATAGGTGTGAATGTGTTTTATTTACATTAATTGTATTTAGCTTTTATCTATTATTTAATTTTTTGTACACAGACATATTAATTTACTTATTTTATTTTTCTATATTTCTTTTTCTTTATTATTTCTATCTTAGTTGTTATTTGTATGTACATATTGTGTCAATGATTTATGTAGCTTTAATATTAACGCCCTTTAATGTGGCAGAATGTATTAATATTCAATAAATAAAAGAAGAAAAAAAAACCAGTGAAGTTTTTAGGAAGTATTTAAGGAAAAATGTTGTAACGAAAAACAATTTGCTTGAGAAATAATATACAATGATAAATAAATTTGGTTATTTATTTATTCTATTGATAATTATCATTACATATTGAGCTTCAATAGAATGATTATATAAAGTAAACTCAGACGAGTGTCAAAGTCATGTTAGGGGATTGCCACGTAACATGTTGTGTCCAAAAATAATAATAATAAAAACCTACCTTGAGAAATTTAAAACAATATCAAAGGAATAATGACATTACATCATCTCGAGACCAAATTCTCATACTATGAAAGAAAAAAAAATCTTTAATTAAATACAAACTGTAATATAGTTATGCGTCATTTGTGTGTTTTTATGATAAATTATCATTTCGCTGATTAAACTTTCGAAACCTTGACGGAAGTAGGAAATATAAAATTATCCTAGATCATCAATTTATTTTCTCATTGTATTTTAATTCGTACAAAAAGAGTATACAAATCGCAATCGTCTGAGATATAAATGAACGCTTCCATTATCAAACAACTGAGAGATAATGAAACCAATTATTCAGATTAAGATTATCCATATTATGTGAAACGCAGATGGGAATTTCCATCGGGTCGTACGGGTTAGCCGCGCCTTAAAAAAAAATAATAATAATATCACACGAAACGTTTTTTAAAATAAGGCCGTTTCATTTTTATTTTTCTATCGCATCGCTTATCACTGTTGTTGAGGTCGTTGCCAAACTTTCCTGACAATGAAAAATGTTTCGATTTCTTTATACAATTATTAACAGCCTTCTAAAACCTCGTAAATAGCTTTATCTTATGTTAATCTACAACTTTTTTGTTTACGGTTCTCGGAATCGGAGAAACTGGAGAACAAAGTTTATTTAATTAGGTACTAACAATATAATTTGATCACAAAATCAAATTTATGAATTAGGTTAGGAAGCGAGAGGAGAGAATTTGAGAAGTAGGAAAAATGTGAAGGGGGGGAGAAGGAAGAGGAAAAGGGTATAGAATGATAATAAATGAATGAAAGAAATAATTTAAAAAAAGAAAAAAATATAAATAAATAAAAAAAAGGAAAAAAATATTTTTAAAAAATAATACATATATATATATATATATATATATATATATATATATAGTACACTATGCTCATACATATTGTTAATCCTATATAATTGTATATTAGTTTTAAAAAATTGTCTGTACTGACTAATAAGTATGCTGTGTTTTTAGCAACCCAATGTAATTGGGCAGCACCCTTTTATGATAATAAAGTGATTCTCTCTCTATAACTCAATTATATTATAATTGAGAAAAAAAGTGGCCTACAAAAATAATGTTCCGTTTGTCGTGATCTCCACTCTCAACATGTCAAATTAACAAGGTTATTTAGACCAAACGGCCGAATATTTTTGTTAGCCAACTTTTTTTTCGATTTTGTGATCATGTTATCTTACGATTCAAATGGAAAGTAAATGAGTATTATTTAGGTTTAGTACTTCATTAAATTAAATAATTTATTGAGAAAACATCCCATTTCAGATAATTTTCGTAGATAAAAAATTGTTGAGTTATGATAAGACGAAGGCTTTCACGAAGTTTTTGGCGGATGTTAATAATTCGACTAAAAGCGATCTGTACCACCGGCTAATAATCATGGAGCCTAAATTTAAATTTTCATATATGGAAAGAATGCCTAAGTTTTATGCCTTTATCTAGCAAAGCAAAGATATATACAAGAATAATAGTAAAGAGAATACAAATATATTAGGATTTCGTGATAAAGTAAAAAAAAAAAATATATATAAAAAAATTAAAAATGTTTTAGTTTAAATTACATTTCTAATTACCTAGACTTTATTTGATTTGTTATTTGTTATTAGTGATAGTAGAGAAACAAACTATATTTAAATTAGATATCAGGGAAAATTGATAACAAAGATTAGTTAAATGTTATAAATGAGAAAAGTATAAAAATAATTGAGATGAATCAAATGATTTCTGCCACAAATAAACTGAGTTATTACCTGAATTTGTCGAACTTGGCGAATTTCTTCCAGTCCAAAGGGTTACTCTCATAAGCCTTCATAAGTCCATTTACAAGCTCGATGTTCACGTTGTCATCTTCGAAGACGATCCGAAGAGCTTGTATCAGGTCGTTCAAAGTATCGATTTTCGGTATCTTTCCAGTTAGCCTATCGAAAAAAAACCTGAGTTACATTTACTGGTTTTAAAAACTTAAAACAAGTATTATTATCCCCTTAGAGGTAACAAGAGTTCAATTCTTTCAACTTATGTAAGAAGCAATAAACGTGCTCTTGATAATACGTATGAGATATCAAAGTATGATCTTTTAACATCACAAGATTTCAATTGGTTTTTCCGAACTATTTTGGAATGAAAAATTAATATTCCTGGTCAAAAAATCAATTGCTAGATTTTGGATACGATGTTTATTCGTACACAGTTTATTTAGAAGTTGGAAGAAGGAAATAATTCAAAAATTGACATTAACAGGAAAAAAAAAAATTATCTGGCTACGTTATTTTTTTCTCATTTTTAATTTTTCTTCAAACAGAAGAGACAGGTTTTCAACGTCTTCATGAGTGTCGAGTTTATTTATTTATTATTATTTTTTTATTATCCTCTATCTTGCCCTTTCTGGCAAATGAGTTATTGTAGAGATACAAACAAACCTAATCTACCCAGAATGGGAAGGTCGAGATCCATTCCGTGAGTCACATAAATTATAAATTTAGTGCGATGCTACGAGCTGTTTCTCATAGAAACTTGTTGACTTTTTTATTATTTATGCAAATAATCAAAAGCTACTTATCTTCCATAAAGTTGCTTAACTAAAAGTTATGAAATATATTCCTATATAAATATCCGAATCCAATAAAATAAAACTGAAGAAACCGATTTATTGACCTTGAATATTGATTTTCTCAAAAACAGTTGGGGAAATATGGTTAAAATGAAGAGTTTGAGATTATCTAAATACATACATTAGAAATTTCTTCTACCATTTTTGTATCTAAACTAGCTTTCTACCAAAGTCCTAAGGTATAGTAAGTCCAATTTTTCTCATTTTGATTTTATTATCATATTTCAAAGATTCTCGTATTTTCCTAAGGTATCATGAATAAGCAAAAATGGTAATAAAAAACTGCAACAGTTAAATTATGATTATTGTCTACTTTTCCTTTTGATACTCCTATTTTCCTCTAAATTAAAATTCTGAAAATGTTACTTTCCATAGTTTACCTCTGACGCACTGATATCTTAAGTGAATAATGGGCTCCAAGATGTGGACAGAGCACTTGTGCAACTTAAGATTTAGATATGATCGAAAAAAATTGAAGATAAATACAATTGTTGTGAATATTACGTAAAACAAATATGTTGTAATAACAAAATGCCTCATTCACATTTTTTTTTTTTTCATTTTTTCTGAAGTGTTTCGACAGATGTAAATAGTTTCTTAGGTAGTACATGATATAAAGAAAATATTCGATGTAAAGATAAATTCAGATATTAAGATTCGAAAAAAATGATTATGAGATGTTCCAAAGATCTTTATTTATTATTTTTATTGATAGTTTATATAAAAATTACTGTGCATCGCTGTACTATCTTGAATAAAGTAAGATTAAACGCTATGAAAACTAAGGCAATGGTTAAGCTTGCAACTCCTATGGCTCTCTCCCCCTATCGAAAATATTTCCTCGAAATATTTCAACATCAAATTATAAACTGCCACAATCTTTCGTATCTACAGTATACAAGGATACCATCCTCCCCAAGATCGATGACGCATCAACTCCTTTCCTCACTCTTTAGAAATTATAATGCTCTATTCTTGTTAAAACAGTGCAAACTAAAGTAGATTAAGAAAAATCGTAGATTAAAAAAACCATTAAACGTGCTGTGGTTTGGTACATGTTTTCCCACTTGGGTTGAAACTTTTCGCTCCGAAATTTCATAACCCCGTCGAAATGTACCTCCCTCAAAAAATTCAAAGCCCCTTCAAAATGTGCCCCCCAAACATTTTGATGGTGCAACTTGGGCCATTAAACCCCCTTCTGGGCACCCTTGACAGTTTCCTTAAATCCAAACCCTTCGTCTACTTATAGAAATTGAGGTCCCTTCTCTTATCTAAGGTCCCTAATACACTCCCTTCCCACAGAACTAAGCCATCGATTGTTCTTTTTTTACAAGCTTCATTGCTTTCCGGGTTTTTTTTTATCTAATATACGTCATAGCTCTTCCATATTCTCATTGAAATCCCTCCTTTTTAAATTACCTCTTACATCTAAAAAAAAAACCCTCTTTGAACAATTATTTGAATTTAGGAATAAAATTTTAATTACGATTAGAAATACTTTAAATATTTAAGGTTTTTTTTTTTTTTTTATTTATATTTACAACTATATTATAAAAAAATACAACTAGTAAATGTGCACACAGTAATTATAAAATCACATGAAAACGCTTGTTGAGAAACTACCCATTGGTAGCACTCTAAAAATATATTTACATAAGTAGATCACGAGGCCATCTTCTTTTCAGACGCCTTTGAGGGCTATCAGAGATCGAAGAGGAAGCAAGGTTTGAAACGAGAGGATTCGGATGGTTCTGGAGTTTACTATGGAAGGATAGGTATCTGGATTGGGCCAAATCGAAAACATATGGAACATGAAGGTCTTTATGGATGATTTTGTTTGTGACAAAGTAAGGAGCGTTGAGGATTTTACGAAGGATTTTGGATTGTAAGGATTGGATACGAGAGGAATTCGATGATTTAGTGGAGCCTCAAAGGTCAATTTAAGTTTTAAATTTAAAGATCAACTTAAGTTTTCATTTATCTTTTCTCTCTCTTTCTTTTTATGTTTTATTTTTAGTTTTGCTAATTTGAACTATAATTATTCTTGAGATTTTCTTGTTCGCTGTTAGTACATTTTTACTGTTGATCATATATATACCGATTGAATTTTTTAAATGTAGTTTGTGGCCAGTTATGTTTTCTGTTTATTAGTACATGTCAGTTATTTTTAAGAATCAGAGGGCAACCATCCCCCTAGGGCAATGACATCCTCCCAAGAAAATTGGTTGCTGTCCTCTTCTTAAAAACTGCTAATAAAAGTAAAATTTATAATTATATTATTATTATAACAATTGTATTGAGGAGAAGTTGGGTGGGGTTTTCGGTCAAAGAAAGTACAAAGTAAAAAGAAATAAATTGTATGTATTTTTATTTCGTTTGTCCCGACGTTTCGGCCCAAGTGTGAGGCCTTCATCAGGGCTAAACAAAGACAACATATAAATATTATATTATAAATATAATTTTCCTAATACTATATGCTTTCATTGAATGATAAACCAAACCCCTTCAATATGTCATCTACAGTCAATAATTATCCACAATTATTAAAATTGTAGTTTAGTTGCTTCCAATTTTCTTTCGAATTGAAACTCCTTCACAAATATTGTCTTCTCCAAAAATTCATTACCCCGTAAAGATTGCCTCCTCAAAAATTCATGACCCGATTTAAATTTGTACCCCTCAAAAATGTTCATGACAAAACTTGCGTTAAGGATCCTTGTTTGTTTTCTACATTACCCTAAAAATGAACTAAACGTATTATTATTTAATTATAAAAATAATAGGCGTAATTATAAGTCATGCTAGCAGTGAAGGCTAACGTCTTTTATTCTTTTTGGAAAGACACCTAGAAAAACCACCTGAGACGAAGGTTAAATCAATATAAAAGAGTACAGACATAACAAGAGACTTAATTAATTATTTTCAATCAATTTTTGGTCATTATAGAGAAAATACATAAGGATTATATCGCTACAGTTAGTGCATAAGGTCGTGTGTAAGAAATGAATGTTTTACAGGAGACCATAAAAACTTACTATTTCTTTATGATTTATTATTATAACTTCATAATTTATTTTCCTCTGTTATTTCCCGTAGTAGCGGGCTACATATAGCACTTGTAAACTGAAGAATAATCAGTTTTTATGATTTCCTGTAAAACATTCAATTTTTACATATGACCTTTTGCACTAACAGTAGCGATATGAGTTTACGATATCTTCGATTGATAAATTGCCTCTATTTGATGTGTGTTTCTAGACTGCTGATGTAAGGTGAATTGTACTTCGTCTGCACTTACGTGTCGTTTTATTTACTGCCCTTCCTGATTCGGTCGAACATTGAGTGGTTATTTCTTTATGGTATTAATGATATGTTTGATATTTTCCGCTGACATCTTAATAACTGTTAAAGGCATAATCCATAGATTGCCAGTATTTTTCTCCCTTCTTCAGAAATATCAAAGAAAATCAAATGTTCTCTATGCTCGTTCAGGACCCTCTGTCTAGAGTCATATCAAATTTCCATTTATAGTTATATAGCATACAGACTACAATTAGTCTTTATTTTCCCATCCCACCGCGTCATCCTCTTACACCCAAATCAGGCAATGTAGTTATTTCCCCATTTTCTTCAGTAGACACACTATTTTTCATAGTTATGAGAAAGTTGATTGCGAGAAATAAAAAACTGGGTTAAATGTAACATATTTTTTAAAAATTTATTTATTTAGATATATAATATTCTGTCTCGTGGACAGTAATTATAGTGATAAATGAACACATTCACACCATATATACAGAAAATACAAAATTAACAAAAGTAAAATAATAACTAAATAATAATAAAAAAGAACTATGTTCAATAAAAAAAAAATAAAATAAACTAAAGATAAGTAAATTAAAAAACATAAAAACACAGTTATACCTATATACAATATATACAATCAGGCAGGGAACCCAAAACCAGGCTTCTCCCTCCAACTTTAGAAGGAAAAGCAGGACTCTAAGAGATCCTTGCGCTACTCTCTCAACCGCGTCACTGGTGCTAAAGCCAGTGGAGTTTGAGCGAGAGCGCTTTAGCCAAATGTAACATTCTAAACCAAAATTTCATCAGCGAATACTATCAAATAAAATGTTTTCTTGATTGCTATCCGTTACTTTAATATTATCCTTCCTATTGATCTGAATTTAAGAAATGCACACTGTAAATACAATCGATTCAATAACATCGCAAGTGAAAAAGAACTACATTAATATTTAATTATCTAAGCAATATGTAAGTCTTCAAGGCGTAGTAAACAGAGGCACGGGAGAGGGAATTGCTTTGCAGAGTTTGTGGATTCATGGAATAACTGTTATGCAAAATAAATAAAATAATCATGAACAAAGCTGATTTCGGAAAGAAATTTTTGTCATCAGCGATTAGTAAACAGTATCGAACATACACTTTGCATGAGATAGGACTTATCCATACTGTTCAAATAATGTTATTTTTAAATGTCCGAAGATGACAAGTTGAATGGTTATCAGCATTATCTGTTGCAACTACAAGAATGCCCCTTTATTTAGATAATTAGAAAGATAGCCCCTCAATGCTAACGGGTTTGCCATGTACCGTTAACAAGTACCTGTACTTCATTGATAGCTTGCAGGCTAAATTCCGTATAGATGTGGAAGTACATAAACTTTCGATGTGTTTCACATTTAATATTGTTTTTTGTGATCGGGACAAGAAATGACGCTATTGAATTAAATAATCTAACATCTGCGTAAGTGGTATTCATCTCATGGTTTTCAATTATTTTATCTCGTTCGAGGACAAATGTATCGTTTTTTTTTTTCTTTTCTTTTTTTGCAATCTTATCCGGAGTTCAGATTCGAATGTGGATTTAGGGTTATCTCATCAATTGAAGATTTTTCAATACACCAAATATAGTAAATTAAGGATAACTTCAGATCTAAGATAAGCATTCTTATATATTCTATATATTAATACATTTCAGTGGCAATATAAAGCCATTACTTTACGATAACAAGTTCCTGTCGGCAGATTGAGAGACTGATTTTCTATTTTATAAATTAGATTCATTAGGAGTGGTTAGGTCAGGATAATTCCAGACTAGGCTTATCCGAACCCAATCTTATCGGATTAAACTAGTGAAGGATTATCTCAAGTTTAACATCAATACAGAAACAGCTTATTCCTAACCTGAACGAGAGTCGACATTATTTTTACTTATGAAATAGTTAAGCACTGGAATAAGTTAAGAAAACTTAAACCCAAATAGGATGCACATTCTCCCCAAAGGTAATGGCGTATGTCCTTTACTCAGGAAATTTATTGCTCTCCTCTTTTTAAAAGTAGTGCAAGAGAAAATAAAATTATAAAAAATGCAGTTAAGATTTTTCATTTCATTCCTAGGTTTGAAGGTTCTGTTCAATTGAAATCTTACAAAAAAAAAAAAAAAAAAAAAATGACATATTAAAAACATATAACATATTACTCCGTAAATATGTTTTCTTCCTAAACTAGCCATAACCACTCAAAAATGTTTATGACGCCATGCAACTTTTGGGCTCTCCCAACCCTTAAGTACACTAATTCCATGCTGAACAACCTTCATTTAACGTGTTTTTTCTTTATGTAAAAAAAGTGTGAATTATGTAAGGTATAGGTGGATTATCTAGAAATTAGAAAACATAAGATTTTTATGAATGGTGCATATAGGGTTAAAGCACACCTTCCTCTTCAGCTGAAAATACTTAAGAAAACACGAACTATTGGAGTCGGTCATAACAAGAAACAATTTGGTCCAAACAAGAATGTCCATAAGATTTTAAAGTTGGACACTGGATCATAAAGGCATTATAAGCACTTCAGGAAGCCGCTGAACAACAATAAATGCTTCAACAGTTGGGAAAAGACAAAGAGGGATAGATTCTACCTATCATATCGATCTGGTCTGCAAAGCTAACAAAAGAAGATACTTTAAGAAACCGTAAATCAAATATATTCATTTCAATCACTAGTTGTAGCGTAGGGGTACTAAATAATCTGGGGATAAAATAGTACTTAATGGTGAACAATAACTTAATGTTCAAATTAAATGGCTCATTAATTCGGCTCTGTATAATAAAAAGAATCTAAAATTAAACTGTCCCTGAGATTTCTGAAGATTCATTTTAAAGTTCAATATAACCCTTCATGATATTGCAAATATATCAAACTTCGTTCCAGAAATATATAAAGTCTTGACCTCTTGACGGAAGATGAGAATTAAAGGTGTGATTTTTTTTTTTTAATTTGGAGTTTATAGCCTCTGTATAGGAACACTCATTTTTCTGCGCGAACATTTTTATTTAGTCACAAACCGGGGCTTATGAAGATTCGTGATATTTGATTTTCTGCGAATCATGCTAGCGGATATTTCATTCACGTTCATTGTTCAAAATGTTGTAATTCCGCCTTATGATGTAAAAAAAAAGTCAAATGACTCATTTTTATCATTTCTTTCTCATCGAAAAATAATAATAATAAAAATCCCATATATGAATGATATTGCCCATGAGCCTATTCAGTGGGAAAAACCGTCCGTCCAAGGTTGAATTTCTAAGAACTGGAGTAGCAACCAATATCAACAACTAATTTCTGAAAAATTTATTGATAATGATAAATTAATTGTTGGCAATTCTAAAACAAAAGTTATTATAAAATAAAGACTAATGCCTCCAAGCTCAAATTAATTCTCCCTCCTTCTAAAAATTGTTCTATTTTAAATAATAATAAGGCAAATGTGACCAAACGTCCGAATCACAGTTCCAAATACACCAACAAAAAAAATTCAATTCAATTTGATTTAAGTCTAAACCACTAGCGGATCCAGGATTTAATTTTGGGGGAGGCTTCAGACCGAAAGATTTTTTTTTCATATACATATAACGATACTTAATTCGAAAAAAAAAAGAAAGAAATTAACTACCTATATGAAATGGTGTTTAAGTGGTTCTTGAAGTCCTATTAAATGTAATTAAACGAACAAGAATACTTTAAGAGATAGTTTTTAATATTTTTTCTGTAAAACATGATTATATTTTACCATTTTGGGGGAGGGGCTTCAGCCCGAAAGCCCTCCCCTCCCCCCGTAGATCTGCCTGTGGTCTAAACCCTTAAAATTTGAAAAATCTGCACATGGTAAAAGACATCTGTGTATGAATTATTGTTAAATATCTAAATAGATCATGATTTGCGACATCCTAATGATAGGCAGCCTTAACCCGTAATAATGGAGTGATAATTCATTGCTTAATATCGTCAGTTACAAGGACTACAATAAGACGAAATTAATAAAATTAAATTTAAAAATAAATAAAAACGAAAGACCTTTTTGTTTCATCGTTTCATTTATCAACCGATCACATGCTATTGTTTCATGCATTAAGAAGGTATGCATTATGATCAAGTACTTCAGCAAACCTTATCCACTAATTAATAATAGGGGTATTCATGCCAACAGTGCTAAGTGTCGTAAACCTCTTAAAATGTGTAAAGTCGAGAAAAATATTTACGAAATGTGTGTTAAATATGGAGGCTAGAAATCTTGATTTTAACGCAGACTAGGATTCTATAAAGTGTTGCTAACTTCGTAAAGATTATTGCAAGGTTTTGATGTGTTCGTGTACAACATCCACAGAAATTCAAAATAAAGACAGCTAGGATTTCACCTGTGTATTCAACAAGTTCTTTGGCTTCTGAATCATATGGATCTTCATTCATGCTTTCAAATAAAGCAGTTTTAACCAAATAATCCAGCAACTTAGTCTTTTCACTTCGCTTTGACGTTTTAATAATAAATCAAAACGTCAGTAGATCAACTAAGAGCTCACAAACTTTGTTTATAGTGCAGCCATAACCACAGGCGGATCTATGGTAGAGAGGGGGGGGGCGACTTTCGGGCTGAAGCACCCCAAAATGGTAAAATATAACTATGTTCTATAGAAAATAATATTAAAAACTATCTTGTTTGTGTAATTACATTTAATAAGACTTCAAGAATCACTTAAAAACAATTTCATACAGGTAGTTAAATTATTTTTTTTCAAATTAACTGTCGTTATATATAAATGAAAAACAAAGCTTTCAAGCTGAAGCCCCTCCCCCCAAAATTAAATCCTGGATCCGCTAGTGGGTTATAATCTTACTACAACTAATAACACTTTAATCTTTATAACACTTCAATTTTCTATTTATATATATTCTATCCTTATATAACTTCATATTCCTTTTCTCCAATTTAATTTTATCCTAACATTACCATTTTTCATTTCTTATGTTACCTTATTTTGATTATGTTTATTTCATTAGTCCGTACTTTGTTGACGTTATTAATAATTATTTCTTAGTTCTCTGTTACTTTTATTACTCTACCTACTTTATTTCACTTTAGTGTTCACACTATCTACTTAATTTTAATTTAAGTTTAAGTCTACTTACATTTTTTAGTCTATACCTTTCACCTTTTTAATTTTAAATCTTTATTATTCAATATTTATAGTTTCTCATACCTATTGTTATTTAGTTCTTTTCTTAGCCCTGATGAAGGCCTGAACTTCGGCCCGAAAAGTCGGCAAATATAAAAATAAATATAATTATTTATTTTTACTATTTTTTATTTTGACTGATCATCCCAACCATCCTTCAATAATAACACTTTCGCATGTTAACACAGATACGTTATTTAGCATCCATTCAAAATTAGTGCTGACTGCTTAGCATGATAGCACATTAAGCATTTACAAGTGCAAGAATACTCCTATTAACTAAAGATGTACCAAAAATGTTTGCAAGGTCGGTGAAGAAAAATGTTATTTTAACTGAAAATTTTATTTTTAAATAGACAATTATTATCTGTATAAATAGACAGATTAATAATCCTATCTAGTATGCATAAAAAATAAAAAACTAGAGTATTTTTTTGTTTTGTTTTTAGATAAATCCTGTTTTCACAGGGTTAAAAATAAATCAAATGATGTCGTCAACCCACACTTGTTATCTAAAATTAAAATTTCCTTAAACGCGTTATCTACAACTTGTTGTTATTCGGATTAACAATACTAGAGAGGCCTGTTTTGTTTTTTTCAAATATTGTCAAGATCCAATTCTGTTTGTGTGTTTATTTATTTTTCATGAGTAATCCATTGTCGTAGGGCTCTGTAATGTAGGACGTAATACAAATCGTTTGTTTTGGAATAGGGGTTGACACGTTTTATCCAGAACATTGCAATTTTGCCCATTTTATTTATTTATTTTTTGCCTCAACGTAGCCCATGGATTGTTTTGATTTAACACGGAAAACAGAGGCCAACTTATGAAAATGAATAGATGCAATTATTCTAATGACATTCTTTCATCTAAATTTATATTTGAATTCATGTATAAGCGTTAATATAAAGGTTTACAGCTTGATCCATAAACAAACAGTACCAACTGAAGTGACCATCTCCTCTGCCAGAAAGATGGTGCATGAACTCTCTCCCTCCTTCTCCAGATATTCTATTGCTCACCTCTCCTTGTCACCTGGTTTGAAACATTTCATTCTAAAAAATCATAACCT